CTCTCTCTCTCTCTCTCTCTCTCTCTCTCTCTCTCTCTCTCTCTCTCTCTCTCTCTCTCTCTCTCTCTCGCTCTCTCTCTCTCTCTCTCTCTCTCTCTCTCCCCGCTCACCATTACATTCAATGTTCATTCAATGTTCTGAATGTAACAAAGGGACACATTCAATGATATTTGTGACTAAATATAGACAATCTGTTATCGGTGGCAGTTGTGGGAAGAGCCATGATATTTATGTTCATTTAACATGACACACATTGCAGATCAATGTGCAGGACACTAAATTAAAACTTTCTTTTTCATTGTATGGTCAGTGCAACTCAAGTGTGCGTAGGCTATAATAATGAGTCCATGAAGCTACGTACAGAGGCAGGGCTACATAATGACCAGGGGTGGCCAAGACCACTGCTGGCCACTGCCTTGGCTACCCAGACATCAATGGGAAAACTTGGATATTTGAGATTATTCCACCTTTTTCACATGAATTCAGTATGAGAATTCTTGATACTGAGTGTCACAAGTTATTTGTAGCAATTGCATGTTTACAGAAGAAATACACAATTGACCTGAATGCAAAATGAATCTGTTTTATGTTAAACATTTGATTCTTCTAGCCGATATCAAGCAAACGACATGGCTCGGAAGTCATTGTTTATCATACCATCCACAGTCATGGTTTCTATGAAATTAAATGTACATATATAACAATTTTACACACACACACACACACACACACACACACACACACACACACACACACACACAGACTCATAATACATGCAGGAAGGAGACTAAGTGAAAAAAACAATGTTTAGAATTGTGAAGAATTAAAGAGATTTTGTGCCATTGTGCTTTTTAGATCTGATATGCATGAATGACCCATTGATCGATAGCAGTATGCAAAATAGCATTGATTGATGTGCAGTATCTTTGCTTACTTTTAGGCCCAGGAGTGACCCAGCTTCTCGTGGCATGGACGATCGCTTGCTCAGCGTGATGCGTCCTATCAGATGATCGCCCTCTTTCGATGGCTGCCACGTGACAGGATGCTAAAGGAATCAGATGCAAAGATCATTACCCACTCTTAATTTTGGAATTTTTTTTCTGAAAATAATGTGTGTTTTTCTCAAGAAATGAAGGTATTTCGACTCCCCACAGACAATTAGTTAATTTGATTGATAAATTCGTAATTTACAAATTGTCATGGAAATCTGAGACTAAAATGAATATTGTGCTGAAACTTACATGCCAAACTGTAGGATCAAGTGGATGACAGTCGAAGTCACCTGCACAAAGTAAAAAGATAAATAGATTTGCTCATATCTAAAATTAAAAGCAAAATACACAAAACATGTTGAAGAACTATAAGCTGCGGATGATCGACTAGTCCAGTGATTATGCCCACAAGCAGGATACCTGACGAAAAGCAATGCCACCAACATAATATTAGGGATACTAGACAAACCTTTTTTTGACAAAAAATTGCCGGCCGGTTTGGCCGGTGATGCATGAGACAAGTGTGTCAGTCAGACACATACTTTGGGTGGAGCATTGAGTATTGAGAATCGATTGGAGCTGGAACTATTCTGCCAGAGTCATTCACATTTTAAATTTCCTGTTCCTCGTAACGGTATCCCATCTGCCGACTGGAAAAACTTTCTGAGACCTACAACGTTCGCACTACCATGCGCCGCGCGGGTGCACCATGTGACGATCACATGTGTGAATAACTTTGTTGAACTAATGAAGAGTCTCTTCAGTGCAACACTTAGAATAAGATGATATTGTGCAAAGGAGTTTGCATGACGTGCATAAGTTAACGGAGTGCTGTGTTTGCCCGGCTTGGTGCTCTCTCCCACTCCAAGCCTCAGCCTACAGCATGCTGAGCTTTAGTGTCATAATCAGGTGAGTTAATCAATAAAATACTTCTATTGTCAATGTTGCCGCATTTTAAAATTTAATGATGGGGCAATTCAAAGGCAAATAACCAGCTAACATTCGCATATGCACAGTATGTTCTGTACCAGGTGAGCGTATGCACATTGTACGGCAAAGCAAAGGTTTTAACCCGGATTTAAAAACATTGACACTTGGTTCTGACTTTACGTCTGCTGGCACTTTATTTCATTGGTGTGCAACATAACAGCTAAATACTGCTTCACCATGTTTACTTTGATCTCTGGGCTCCATTAAGAGACCCAACTGTGCAAATCTTGTATTCAATCAGCATTGATTTAATGTATTCAGGACAAAAACTATTCGGTGATTTACAGACCAGTCGCTGAATTTTTAAATCTACTCAACAGCTAATTAGGAGCAAGTACAGTCGGAGTGGAATAGTATGTTGTGATCACTTTGTTCAGTAGGAACCTGAGCTGCAGCTGTTTGGTCCTCTATTGAGGGAGTCCAGAAAGAAGTTACAATAATCAAGTCTGCTGAAGTTAAAAGCATGGATCCATTTCTCCTGGTCTGCTTGGAGTGGGTGTGGGTGTAAGCTATAGTAATATCCATCCATCCATCCATTTTTAACCAATTTATCCTGACAGGGGTCGTGGGCGTGCTGGAGTCAATCTTTAGGCCATAGGCGGAGGACACCCTGAACTGGTTGCCAGCCAATCGCAGGGCACGCATAAACGAACAACCATCTGCGCTCACACTCACACTTAGGGACAATTTAGAGTGTTCCATTAACCTGCCATGAATTTTTGTGGGGAAGGTGGGAATAAATCCATGCAGGCATGGGGAGAACATGCAAACTCCACACAGGAAGGCCAGAGCTGGAATCGAACCTTGCACCTCTGCACGATGAGGTCGACGTGCTAACCAGTAGTCCACTGTGCCACTCGCTACAATAATAATAACAATAATAATAATAATAATAATGATTGAGAGAAGAGGACGCACAAAACAGGGTTAGATGGAGGCAACTGATTCACTGTGGCGACCCCTGAGGGGAAAAGCCGAAAGGAAAATAATAAAAATAATAATAATAATAACAACAATAATAATAATAATGATAATAATGATAAGTTGTCAGAGGGTTTATGCCCCAGGCAGGGTGAACCATTGGAAACAGGTCCTAGGTGAGGGACCAAACATAGCATGGCTCGCAGATACCTGATGATGACCAATATAATTGGATTATGTTTCCCTTGCCCACTCTGGAGCCAGGCCTAGAGGTGGAACTCACTGACAAGTGTCTGGTGGACAAGTCTGCAAGGAGGAAAGCCCCACCCCCTACCCCAGTTCGGAACCCGGGTGGCGTTCTGGTACTGGACTTCTTTGCTTGTCACGGATTATCCATAACAAGCACCATGTTCAAACATAAGGGGGTCCATATGTGCACTTGGCAAAGCTCTGGGGATTGATGAGATTCACTCGGAGTTCCTAAAGGCTATGGATGTTGCGGGGCTGTCCTGGTTACAACATCGGGGACGGTACCTCGGGATTGGCAGACTTGGGTGGTGGTCCCTCTTTTTAAGAAGTTGGACCGGAGGGTGTGTCCCAACAACAGAGGGTTCACACTCGTCAGCCTCCCGAGAAAGCTCTATCAGGGGTGCTGGAGAGGACGGTCCGTCAGGAAGTCGAATCTTGTCAGGAAATCGAATCTCAGATATTGGAGGAATAGTGTGGTTTTCTTTTATTCATCTCTGGGCGTAAATATTTCCCTAATATGCCTCTTTGGAGATATCCTAACCTATCATGTTTTCTATATGTAGAAAACGTGACCAGGTCAATGAAGAATGTGAAAAGATGCTTCCTTTGGAACACAGCGCTGTTTAAAATCCCTTTAACTCCACTTTTCCTAAACGTCATTTGTGACTGTGAGTGTTGTTGACGTAACACAATAGCGTCCTTTCTTTTCTCCTTTTTCTCTCGCTCTCACTTTAACTCCTGACCCATCTATCGAAACATGTTATACTTTTAATGTTTACACGGTTTTCTTTACGGATGGTAAAATTAGTCAGACAATTTCATACCTTTTTTTTTCTTAAGTCTTGGACATTCTTCGAGTAGAGAAAACTGCTTCGGTGGCATGTTGTTTTAAATGTTACTGGCGTAAAGGATTATGGGTATATCTCCTGTCCATTCGTAAAAGTTTGTCAGGAGTAATATGATAAAGAGGGGTTTAAGGTTGCATTATGTCTCTGAGGCATTTTTAACATTCAAACAAACTTCCCTCCAAGTACTTCTGGGTTATTTCGCTTGGAATAGAAAAGAAAGTTTCTCAGCAAAAATTTCATTCCGAAAAGGCCAAATGACTCTAGCGCAGAGGCCCCCAACCTTTTTTGCCCCACGGACTGGTTTATGTCAGACAATATTTTCAGGGACCGGCATTTAAGGTGTGGTGGAAATAATACAAGAAATTAATATGGTATGAGCTGCATGAAAACTGTGGTGTTTTTTCGAAATATAATAATAAACACAAGGAGCGTCTAATCTGGCCGCAACACTCCGATCGCTATGGCAATGTTTAATGCCTTCAAAATACGATACAACGCAAATTCAAAGTGCATGAAAATGACGACTCACCACAGCACCGAGCTTGATTTTCTGCAACCAGACGGTCCCATCTCGGGGTAATAGGAGACAATGACACCTCAA